ATGGTCACATTTTGGGTGCTTGGCAACTGGTTCGTATTTATAGCCATTTGCAACATACTGCACTCACAAGCCCTCAATTTTCAATGTTTCTGGCCAGTTTCCAGCATTTACTTCCAGTTTCTGGCAAAAAATGCTCGCTGAAGAAAATGGGTTGACTTAACAACTCTGGCATTCGCTTAATAACTATTTCAGGCTTGTAAAAACGGGCAGAGTCATGTGGTGACCCATATCTCCTACACCCACGTTAACGACCACCATGATTTACAACTATAATTCTGGGCTCAATTATGATCATAAATCAGGGACTATCTGAAGACCACTTCAGAGAAAGAGAGACTTCCAATTTGTTAACAGTGTCAAACCTGGCCAGTTTCCTCAACCTGCAAGCCAGGTAACTGCACTGGTGATGTCTTTGGTCTCCAGATGCTGATGATTAATGCCAAATCTGTCTGTAACAAATGGAACTATTTCGGAGAGCATTCTCTTAAGTTCATGCTCTACACCATCTGTTATTCTATTTTAATACAGCTAAATTGTATACTCGTTTTAAGGGTGTTATGACTGTTATTTAATCAATTATTTTAACCACAGGGTAAATGTTTTATACATTCGTCTAAATGATGTTATATAGGCCACCAAGAGTTGTTACGTCACCATGGGATACAAATGCAATCAATCACTTTTAACGTAAATCATTGCATCATGCTACACACTCTACAAGAAATATAGCTTAACTGCCAGATTTTGGATGAGTTGGGTGATAATGTAATTAGTATCCACTAAATGAGACAGAAGGAGCTTCAATCTTTTTCCTAATATACTTTGAAGTATTCCCAGAAAACTACGGAAACTGTACCTCCATTTCACAGTCCATCATTTCTCATCAGTCAGAACTAATAATCACAAATCAGAAACTGGGTAAATTCATCCAAATTTTTGTTCCTACAATAAGGATATGTGATTTTTTTTTCCTGGGAAGGCAACTAAAAATAGTTTTTCAGTGGTATGTCAAGAGCCACATTCTCAAAAATAGTGGGCAAAAGATGAGGCAGGACAAAAACTAAATTTGAAGAGAAACCCATAAAGAAATATGATGCAACCAAACCCTCATGTTCGTGTTAACAAGAATGAATATTGAAAAATAAATGCCTGATAACAGAAGTAATGTAGAACAGCAGTAACTAATAATTATTGATAGTTTTATTTTGCTTGACTGGGCAAAGCAACAATCAGATTTCCCAAAGAAGTGAGTTTGTACATATCCTCCACATTCTGTGAGAAAAATGCCCTATCAAACAATATCCGACAAGATATCCAGATTACAACTATCCCAACATTCTCTCTGTTGGTAACTCTGAACTGTGCAGTAAAATCCAAGATTTTTTCAATTAGCAAATTATAATTAACTGGATTAACTAATCTGACTACATAGCTTTTATTTGGAGTTCAGTACGTGCAGTTGTTATCACCTCTTAGTTTTCTTGGGACACTGCAACCATTGTAAATAGATGAAATAGATGTTGGTTGCGAAGCATCTGAATTTTGGTCACGTGACCATGAGGATGCTGTGATGGTTGTAAATGCAAGGATCAATTATAAATCAATTTTTCCAGTGCCTTTGTAACTTCAGTCACTAAATGAATGGCTGCAAGTTGAGGACAATCTGCCCATCCTGGCAGTGTCCTATACCTGCAGTTCTCCATCATTGATGAATGTCCTAAGGAAGTCCCATAGGCTACTTTGCAAAGGGGCTTCATCAAGGACTGAGGGTCTGTCCTTTCCCAGATCAAATTTCCATTCTTTTCCTGGATGCTGTAGCAACAGGCATAAAAGGAAGATCTGCTTCTTCTATCTCTGTAAGTAAATCCAATTTATACATACAACGAATTGTACTAGTTTTCTTTAAGAGCCTATTTGTACTTCTGCTGTTATTTAGAATAACAAATCAGCAGAGGTCATGAAGCCTAGTTCTATATTATGCCTGCTAAGGGGATGGCAGCATGATAGAGAATGTAAAGCTCCGGGATCTTCCCTAGAAACCATGATGCCTTCTCAGTAATGTGACTATCTGACTAATAGTGAACTCCCTGTGAGAGCATCTCATGGCCTGAATATCTTGGGAATGAAATGAAATCAGATAAAATAAAATCATCTACATGGAAAGGAAACAAGTATGTCCTCCTCACTCACCTTCTCTTCCCGAGTAGTTCCTACACCTTCTCCAAGATTAGTGTCTCGAGGCTGTAGCTCCAAAACAGTACGGAAAAGCTTCTCTGATGTTTGGGTTAAGAAGCCAATTTCTGCATTGGGGTGGAGGCCATACAGATACGGAGATTCGGGAGGTAGGGCATCATCTATATACTAGGCAGGAAAATGATATATACACTCAGCAAGTGACAAGTATCATATAATCATTCATTCATTCATCCATCCTATTTATATAGCCACCCATCTCATAGTCAAGTGACTCTGAGTGGCGTATAATGCCCTCAGTCATCTGCAGTTTTACTGAACCTCTAAAAAGTTAAACTAACGATGCTGAATTTGTAAGCAGATCAGCCCCGGCTAAATTAAAATTAATTGTAATTAATTCAAATTAATCATTAGGCATTTTCAACTGAGATACATTTTTCAGCATATTTTGGCAGGCATCAATCTCAGCCCTAATTAGAACACAGTTTTGATGAAGGAGTGGCCAAGGTGACACTAAAGCAGGGGTAGTCAACCTTGGCTCTTTTATGACTCGTGGACTTCAACTCCCAGAATTCCTGAGCCAGCACAGCTGGCTCAGGAATTCTGGGAGTTGAAGTCCACGAGTCATAAAAGAGCCAAGGTTGACTACCCCTGCACTAAAGAGTCAAAAGTCTAAATTTTTCAAAAATACTGATTATATTCTAAAATAATAACAGTGATGATAAAGACCCCTACTAGGAAAATCCTACACATGTCTACATATAGTAAAGCACAAGTACAGTGACAGAGAACTAGCATCTTCCAGACATTTTGGCTCAACTCCCATTAGTTCCAGCTAGCAGGGTCAATAGCAAAGATCTATGGGAGCTGTTGCCCAAAACATCTAGAGAAACCTGATAAATGGATTGCAACCTGAAAGTATTTCTGAGTTAACAGATTAAAAATTTTCACTAGGCCTCCTAAGGCTGGAGAAACAACAACACAATTGTTGTTGTTTTTTCTATCCTTGCACGAACTGGACAAGGACATGACCAACTGTCATTTTACAGTCAAAAAGCATTATGATGAAAAAAAAGCTGCCGATCCTGCCTAAAGCTCTAAATCCCTAAATTGCTTTCTTGTATCGCTATGAACTCCAACACAAATCAGGGCAGGTTGAATAAACGCAAGACTACCTGATGATAACCATTGTAGTCCATGTTTCCTGGAAGGGGAAATCCAGACGCCAGTAAGAATTCTCCCTCCAGCATTTCAGGCTTGATAAATTCTTCTAAGTAGGACTTACAGAGACGCCTGTCCCAATCATCTGTGATGTGACCCCCATACATGATCTCTCCAAAGAGGTACCGAAGGTCATCATAGGGAACCTCAATGCCAAAGGGAAAATTAGCTGAGACAATTCCTTACAGACTAACAGCAGGCAACTCTTTCAACAGCTTTTGGAAATCTTAAAGCAGAAGGGGGTTGTGTTTTTGTAGGAAACTGGATGTAATATAGCAGTTATACAACTCCATGCAACACCAAAAATATTTCATTTAGAGAAGCCCCAGACTGTGGAACAGACTTTGTATGTGTGCATAGATGTAAGTGTGTGTGTAGAACTGGAAAAGAGTAGGAGTGTCGCTGAAAACAACTCTTTCCCCATTCCTTAAACAAAAACACATTTATCTAGATACTCAAACAAATATTTTCAAAGAAATGTCCTAGCATGAGCACATCAGGCCAGTTATGAACATTCAAAGAAATAGGATGATTAGATGAAAAGCATATTCTTTTCCGAAGTCACAAAAGAAAGGAGAGAAAGATAGCACATTGATAGAGAATGCTCCTATCCCTCAAAAAAAAAAACCTCTAGTGATCATCTATTAGAAATTGCTGCATATGATTCTAGTTCACCTTAGAAGTAGTCTCCAAGTAATTGTATAGAACATTGACAGAAATTGTGAGGTCTCCAAAGTTAAATGGGTATGAACGATTCCAGCCTTGGGGGCCAAATTTGCGCCTTTCTGCTACCACAGCATGGAAATAACACAGGGCAAAAAGGATGCTCTTGAACTCATTCTCACGGGTACACATCTCCAGGGTGTCCTGCAGGAAAAGAGAAGTTGGTTTCCATAATAAATACCGTCTAGATCAGGTGTGTTCAATCTGCAGCCCTAGAAACTAGCAATGTGGCCCCACAAGATCGTAATAAAAAATATATAACAAAATAAAGGAAGTTTGTTATTTATATACATTAACTATATTATATATTTCATATGGGGTCCAAGACAATTCCTCTTCGCTCAACGCAGCCCAGGTAAGCCAAAAAGTTGGACAACTATGATATAAGTCTTCGGGTTGGAGCCAAATGAAATGAAGAGAAATAATGAGACACTGACCCACACACAAAGAATTGGACAACGGTATCTGGGATTATGAAAATCTCCACTCATCCTCATTACTTGCATTGATCTGAGAAGTTGTGAGAAGGCCAATGTTGACTTCCAAACTTACTAAGTTTATTTTCTATTGATAATCCATTTTGCTAGCTTCCCTGCTAATGTTTTTTCACTGCTTATTAATAAATAAATTACTTAGATAAAGATTTTTTTTTCTGTACAAATAAAATATCACTTTATGGTTGCCATAATGCTTATATCTGATTTTTTTAAATGTCATCTAAAAGCATGCTTTCTGAATATTTGTAGCTGATCAAATACTCTCTCTCATATGGCCTGATCTTTTACATTGCATAGGAATCTCTATTAGATGATGGCAGTTCTTATAGTCTGCTTATAGCAAGGTTTGGAGACTAGATGGATAGTTGAAGGAGTGATGTGACTGACAAATGTGGAAGAAAAAGGGCTTGTTCTGTTTCAATTGTTTAGACAACTTTCTGATCTAAATAAAGTCTTGGGAAAAGAATCTCCATGGCCTGGAGTTGGAATCAGTGAATGTTATCAGATGATCAAATTTATTCCCCCCTGTCTCCCATAACAATGTTCAAGAGTATTCTTGATTGTTTGTGACAGATTAACAGAAAAACAAAGAGCTGTTGCATAGTTAGCCAACACTCAACATTGTTTCCCATGTAAGTTAGAAATAGTGCTTACAAGCCTTGGGAATAATTTTTCCCCACAAATGTGCTAGTCTCCTGGATGAAAAGTGAGACAAAGGCCTGAGTCATAACATTAGAACAAATATACCTTGTGCTTATTTATCCTCACACATTTCTCTGATTGCAAACTTGAAAGAACAACAGAATGTTTATGCAACACAAAACCTACCCTTTTTATTTAAAAGCAATATGGTAATAAACTCTTTGTAGTCCTGTTTATTTGTTTGTTTAAAACACTTAATATAGCCACCCATCAGATAACCAACCCTGAGTGGCTCCAATTACGTTTCAGCATCTCTATGTGAATTCAAGTTGTATTGCTTGAACTAGAAGCACAAAGTAGTTAATAAAAGAGGTATTGTCATAGCAGTATTTTGGATGATGAAATGCTTTGTAAAAATAAATCAGCCATTTTGACATACTATCAGATTTGCAGAAGCAAGTAAAGAAATATTCCACCTCACTCCTCTTTCTGTGATGATGATGATGATGATGATGATGATGATGATGTTGTTAGAAGGGACCTTGGAGGTCATCTAGTTCAACTCCCTGCTCAGGCAGGAAACCCTATACCATTTCAGACAAATGGCTGTCCAGTCTCTTCTTTAAAACTTCCAGTGTTGGAGGCATTCACAGCTTCTGCAGGCAGGTTGTTCCACTGATTAATTGTTCTAACTGTTAGAAATTTATCCTTAGTTCTAGGTTGCTTCTGTCTTTAATTAGTTTCCATCTGTTGCTTCTTGTCCTGCCTTCAGGTGCTTTGGAGAATAGCTTCACTCCCTCTTCTTTCTGGCAACCCCTGAGATATTGGAACATTGCTATCATGTCACCCCTCGTCCTTCTCTTCATTAAACTAGACATACCCAATTCCAGCAACCGTTCTTTATATGTTTTAGCTTCCAGTCCCCTGATCATCTTTGTTGCTTTTCTCTGCATTCTTTCTAGAGTCTCAACTTCTTTTTTACATCGTGGTGACCAAAACTGGATGCAATATTCCAAGTGTGGCCTTACCAAGGCATTGTAAAGTGGTATTAACACTTCACATGATCTTGATTCTATCCCTCTGTTAATGCAGCCTAGAACTGTGTTGGCTTTTTTGGCAACTGCACCACACTCCTGGCTCATACTTAAGTGATTGTCCACTAGGACTCCGAGATCCCTCTCACAGTTACTACTATTGAGCAAGGTACCATCTATACTATACCTGTGCATTTGGTTTTTCTTGCCTAAATGTAGAACCTTACTTTTTTCACCATTGAATTTCATTTTGTTAGAATGTATTTATAGAATGTGTTTGTTTGTTTAATATCTCACCTTTATTTTTTATAAATCGCAAGGTGGTAAATCTACCTAATACTCTTTTCTCCTCCTAGTTTATGATGAATTATGAATGATAGAAGATGGGAACAAAAGAAACATGACAGCACTAATCTTCATTCAGCCATGCCAACTCAGGCATCCAGTGGTCTCCCCGAAGAGTACTGAGTAATGACAAGAGCTGTTAGAAAGCTAAGAAGCAGAGCACTCTCCCTCCAAAAGCAAGAATGCCAATATTTCAACCTACTAGATTGGGCTGGCTGAGAGCCTTACATTTCAAAAATTCATTCCCGTCTTCAAAGCAAGCCTAGTCAACATACAAGAGGAAGTGCTTGGCTAGTTTAGACAAACAATGTTGGAAGGGACTTTGAGATTACATGCACAATTCAATTCTTGAGATGAGGTTCCAGGTATAAGAGCTGCTCACCTCAAAGTGCTAATACCTTGACTTTCATTATAATTGGCCTGAATGGAGCTAACTTAGTCCAATTGCATATAATTTCCTGGCTTGGCTCTGAAAGAGAGGATCAAGAATCTCCTTGAGGTAGGAGGAGAAGTAGAGAGATACCTGGTTGAAGTTGTCCAGAGCCTTGTGCAGATTGGCATGCATCCCAGTTGGAGGTTCATTTGTGATTTTGATGGAATTCTCAAGGATACCCTGTGGTATCAGATGGCTCTCAGAAGAAGCTGCAGGTTCTGCACTGATAAAGATCCGGAAATCAGGGTGACTACCTTCGCTGTGCTGCTCTAGTTTCTTCTCCAGAGAACTCAACCACTTGGCCACCAGGTGAATATTCTAGGAGAGAAAGACAAGGTTATTAGATCCTTCTCTTAAATGTTCTAGGAAAGAATGACAAAGTTATTAGATCCTTCTCTTAAAGCAGCTACTGCATCAATATCTTCCAGGAGATAAGAAGCACTCTGATGCGCGCGCGCGCACACACACACACACACACACACACACACTCTACAAGAAAAAACACCTTGCCTAATAGCTCTGAGCACTATAATTCAGTTCCCCAGGCATTAGCTGCACATAAACAATGTAGATTTTCTATACTTTGAAATGCAAATAATCAAGACAAATAACTAGCAATTAAGGAAACAGTTCTGAGTGTTTGTTTTCTTAGGGATGATGGTGGTATTCTGTGTGTTAGAATAATGTACTGTTACTGAAATAACATTATTTCCTCCAGACAAAACAAATTTCCCATAAACAGCTGAAATAAAGTTGCTTGATTATTTTCAATGAAATAATCCATCCTTGAAATCTAAGCTAGTTACCGGAAAATCAGATTTCACATTCTGCTCAGCTGAGGTCTTCAAATATTTGCAATGGTGGTACTTTTGTTCAGAATTACTCATTTCAGTTTTCCATCATTCCAGCATAGATCGGGCCAAGAAAGACTGACTGGCCCAAAATCACCCAGTGAGTTTTATATGGCAAGCTGAGACTGAGTCTTCCCAGCAACTGCGATACCCACCCTACAGCATATTGCCTGATAAGATGGAAGGACAGGAACTTATGATGTTATCTGAGAAAAGCTCAAACATGATACCAGCATGGACACTATAAAAGAAAACATTGTTTTCCTGGTTCTTTGTATGATTAACTCCATTAAGGAAGGCAAAAGCAAAGATATATTTCTTTGGATAAAAAAAATAGGAAATAAATCTAAATTAAAGAACCTTTTATCAAACCTTTCAACTTTGATCTATGAGTAATGAAAACACTAAAGGAAGGCTTAAATTATTCTATCAAGATCGAGAAATCCAGACCAGACATCTACCTAAAAGCCAGAAATACAGATGCACAGAGCCAAGGAAAAGGGATGTACAAAAGTAGGTGGTTTCTGAACATGTCCTGCTTGTTTCTAGTGCACAGAAAATCTAATTTCCGACACAGCCCAGATTTCAATAAATAAGCAAAGCTCATAACAATGGCAGAATGCTGAAGAAATATGAAACTGAACACATCTTCAGCAAGGCGTATTATTTATCACAATCCACAGATCAGAATGATAGCTTTAAGCTAGTAGAGAGCCATCAATTTAGATAATCAGGGTCTTTGTGTGAGGAAGAACTGCTTATCTTGGAAATGGGAAGGACTTTGAAAACCTTTCACTTCCAGAATAAAAAGAGGCTATTGTTTGTTGGCTTTCAGGTACAAATTAAAGCTTAGCTTCTGGGAATACATCTGAAAGGCTCAAGAATACAACACAGCACAATCCTATTGCTAATAGAGGCTAATGTACCTTTTTTAAAAAAAATGTTATGGCCTTTTGGGAATGAGTGCTATTTCAAAAGCCAACTGCATGCCAATCCCCAATAAAGCCAAGTGCAGGGAGTCAAAGTGAAGCCATTCTAGGACAAGGAGAAGAAAAATGTATATATTTTCCCATTTGTTCGTACCAGAGAACAAGTCAGTCCTTTTATAGAAATGTAATTATCTATGAGCAGAACTAAAATTATTGTGCTTTCTTCAGATGGATCTGATTATCCTCCTTTTTAGCCATTGATCAAACTTCACCAGGACTTTGTATTGGTAATATTGGGAGTATTCACAAAATGAAAAAAGGATTGTTCTGAAAGTAGAAAGAGGCACTCCATCCCAATAAAACAGCATCCCCACCCAGTCTAGTCTTCATGCTATAATTCTTGAACACACAGACTCACTTTCTAATTTGAAAAGCAAGGAGAGGAGCAGGGCTTTTATTTCTACTGTCTTATCATCACAGAATAGGCCTGAACTAGGGGACATATTCAGACTTAGTCAAATTCAGTCTGTCTTTCAGTGAGGTTTCTGCCGCTTCAGCTCCTGAAGTCATCAGAGAACCAATGGCAAAGTAGGATTGCCCAAAAAACAGAGACCATTCAGAAGCGACTTTGTCAAGGAACCAAGATGCTGTCTCATGTCAGCAGTGAATCAGGTCCTCAAGATTATCAGGAAACTCTCCAAGTGCATGTTGGAAACCAAGTGAATCCATGAGGCATCTAAGAGAGATTCTCTGTATGGACTTGGCCCTGTGGAGAAAATGTGCAACAATTGTATCTGGAACAAGGAGTGTTCTGCCACAACAAAGGGCAGATGGTAATACTTTCCAGATCAGGATCACCAAACAACTACTTGGAGGCAAAGATCAGGTCTACATGTCCCTCAAGGTCATTCCCTCCTTCCTCTGCACAGTAATATATGCCAGATCTGCCCATTCATCACCACCAAATTGTGGATGGATGTGGTCTTGTTAAAAACAGACCTGGTCACCTGGCATTAACCATCACCAACTGGAGGCCAGGTGGTTCAACAATCCAGTCCCCAGGTCCCTTGATAGAGATAATCAAAGAAGAAACTACCAGTAACTTCTTTGCTACCTTGCTTCCTCTAAAATTAATTGATCATTTAATACTATGTATATGTATATGGGTTATACTATATATGGCTTACAAATCAAATGACAAGAAATATATTCTCCAGCCAATATATATAAAGAGGAACCAATACTTCATTTTGAAAGGAAGTCCTGAAGAAGAACACAAGCTGGAGTTTTGTGGGAAAGTAGATTTAAGGTTTATATATGCTGCATATTCAGTTATTTTAAATAAACTAAGTTATTACTGGTTTACCTAAAGTTCTGGGATATTTTATAAAGAACAAACAGGTTAAAGAAGAATGTAGTAAAATTAGAAACATGAACTTAATGTAGAATCCTAAATGCCTCAAAGGATTTAATGGCACAACTGAATCAAATATAGCATTATGGTGATCAGCATAGTAAACTGACTTAGAAAAGGATCAGAATTTGGACCCAGAGCTTTACCAAGTGCTGTACCACGAATGCACTGCCTGGATACAGAGACATTTTATTTGCTTGAATTGAAAGCAAGCATCCAAGATTTCGTGCACTGGATCAATTAATGATAAGTGGAACTGGAAGAACAGAATGTCTTTATGAGCAGCAACTGTGCACTCTGACAGTCAGCAAAATCTTTCTCATTTCACTTAATAGTTCAGAACAGCTCCTAGAGTTCCAAATTGCAAGAATAAGACAGAAAGGAGAGTGTGGGCACAAGCTAAAAAGTGCAAACAGTCCTCAGATTTCTGAGGGGGGAAAAACCTGACAGAACACAACAGGCACTTGTATACAGCATGATTAAGACAGCATAATTTAGGAACTTAGGCTTTTTACTGTGTCTCCCAGGCAATCTTGGGAGCACAGCTTTCATCATAATGAACTAGGCATGGCGGCTGTTTTTCTTCTGTTGCATTACATTTCTGGAAAATTATTTGGTTCAGCTGGCTGGATAACATGTGAATGATTAAAATTGTCCAGATGCCAAGTTTTGTATATCCCAACACAGTTCCTGGAGCTTATTGGTGTTCAAAAAAGCAACAGACACATACCCACACACCACTGAGTTATTTCTCACCAATCTGCTAAAGCCACATTATTGTTGCACTTCAAAATGGTGCAAAACCCACCCATTCATGCTGCTGAACCTGGTGAAATTTCTTTTGTTTATAACAAACTCTCTTTACTGAATTATTTGCAGAAAACACAGTAAAAAAGACAGTCAAAGGATGAATGATTCAGAAGTCAAAGAAAAGGTAGCCCTCGATGTACGATTGTGATTGAGCCCGCAATTACATGCCACTCGGTGTCACAAGTCATGTGACCACAGCTGATTTTTACAATCTTTTTTTCCGGTGGATCATTAAGCAAACGCACAGTTGTTAAGCAAACTCATTTTTCACCATGGGCATTTGGGGGGGGGG